TTCTGTGATTCTGTGATTCTGTGACCTGATGTCCTGGTTGTTGAGGCCTTCTTGCTGGAAATCCTGTTAAAAATGTCATGTTCAGCGATCATCCCTCAATTCAAACTACGTTACAATAAATATCAGTTATTAGCAAATTCTTAATGCATTTAACAGGTACTTCATTGATACTTCATAGTTGTAATGGTTTAACTAGAACTCTCTCGCGTTTTAAACAGGCTGTTTATAGCAAAGTACTTCTATCTGTTACATCAACTTGATCGACCAAACAATGCACGTTCTGTAAAGAATGAGGATTTGTTTTACACAATATATTAACTCTAAAATCATAATGAAGACCAGTTATCAATATTAGCTTTAGTTACATTCATAAATTGAATTCCATAAATATTTCTCCATTATTTATCCTGACAATAATTTCAAAATAACCGATTTATTGTTCTGGGTTCATCATGCTGGTCGTACTGAACGTTAACATGAAAATGTCTCCTCTCGCTTTCTAGAGTTTCTCTGGTGTTCCAAGACAATACAGCAGTGTAAATATTAACACCTTATTAAGGCTAACGACTCAGCTTACCTTTATATTGGAAACCTAAGTCTACGTAACTGTAATGGACAGTCTTCTGCTGATTGAATTTAACTCACTTTACAGGGCTTTCTTTGTTACTGTGGACAAAATTTATTTTCCTTAAAGGGAAGCTGAAGTGGTGACTTGATTTCAGAAGGCGGAGCTCCAGGAATGGATCTAAGATGCTGTATTCTTAAACTCTCCGTTCTGCAGGTCATTAGCAGGGCCGAGAATAAAATTTGTCTTTTGATGTTCTAAAAATGCTTCCTGTGGATTATATCTATGATTCCTACATCACAAATTGATGACAGATTTTACACTTCTGGAAGAAACAAAGTAATTTTTGTCAATATAACATGTATGCTCTTTTTAGTGATGGTTTCATGACTTTAGGCACTTGCAAACCCAGAAAATAGGTTGCTTCTTTGGTGTTGTATGTTTCTTTGTTTGTTTTCCCCAGGTCCCAGTTAATGACACCGTTGTGCAGTCCATGAAGGTCAGTCTCTATTGCCAATTAAAATAATTTCTGCTTCTGCAATAAAACACATCTGGAATCTTAGGCATTCATAGTAATGCCCAGGGTTTGGGAACTTGGGAGAATGGGAGTGTTCTGTGTCTGAGACAAGATTTTTTTGGACAAAAGTTTAACATTACAGAAAAAAAATAGGGATTTAAGGAAATATGTACTTTTCAATGAATGAGCATAGATAGGACTGGAGTCAGGGAGGTAGCTTGGTTTCTTAGAAAAAATTAGGCCTCTGGAGAAGGGTGATGTGTCCACAGATCACAGCTACAGCAGAAAGGTAAATGTGACTTGGATAGAAAAGCAGTGGAAAAGAGTAAGGAGGGCACACTCCTTTTAAACAATCGCTAATTGTTAATATGCTTACTGCCCCCAGGTAGATGTCACCGCAGTCGCACCGCCTGGAGCTCCCCACATGAAAGACAACACATGTCACAATGCTGTTTCTGAGGTATCTGAACTTTCTTTCCTTTGGGCAGCTCAACACTAGCTTGAAGTTACTGGCCTGTTACCTGACTCTGCCTCTGATTCTTCTCTGATTTGGACTTTCAGGTGATCTACGAGATAGAATTCAGTGGCACACATGGGATTCAGGGTGTTTCTGTCCGGTTCAAAGTGAGCAATATCTCTGGGAACTCCGGATCCTCTCTGCAGCAGCGCTTCACTGTGCACTTCTGGGTCAGTGCCCCCATCCACTGGCTCTTGACAAGTCTCTAGTTTGTGATCCACCTTTGTACAGATGAGGTGTGAAAAGGTTAGAGCAGTGTCACTGTGGTATGGTAGTACTGGAACCCTGGACCCAGATGGTGGTTGGAGGAAGGAGGGGACACTGCTCTGCTCTCAAGTAAATCAGTAGAAAAACTCAGGCTCAGTGCAAGCATACAGTCTTGTACTGTGCAAGTTTGAAGGGGTTGATTATTTTTATCTTACCATTTTTGGCTGTTGTTTTGATTTGGTTTGGGGTTTTATTTGGTGGGGGGAGAAGGAGAGAGGATGAGATCAGGGTCACCAGCACGGTCTTGTGAAGGAGAGGGTTGGAGCTGGTGCTGCATCTGAGGTGTTCAGTGTTTGTGAACAAAGTTGCTAAATTTATTCTGGGTACTTATTTAACTCTGCCTGTGCAGTAGGGAGAAGTTACTTTGGAGGGCATGGAAATCAGAGATACAAGTGTGTGCTGAAGTTCATATAAACCTTGTCCCATAGAGGCAATGTAAAGGGGGGTAAGTGGTGACCTCAGGAGCTGACAAGTGTGCAGTGCAACCTTGCTAAAGTTATCCCTGGAGGCTCTCCCCATAAAACAATTTAGAAGTGGAGTCTGCCACTCAGAATCGGGGTCAAGGCAGGGTTTGTTCTGCAGATTGTCTGTAGAATTGCCCAGACCGATATGTTCGTTTCCTTAGAGACAAATGCTGAGCAATAGGAATTCATTATCTCAAGAACTGTCCTGGTAGCATCTGCATTTCAGGGTACTGACATTTAGTTTTTTACCTCCTGGAGTGCAGATGAACTTGCCAGGTAAGAAGGAGGATTTGGAAACAAATAATGGAGGTTTTAGTACTGCATAATATTTAGTCATTCAAAAAATAGGTTACATTTACATTTTTCAGAATGTGAATTTCATTTTCTGAGATGAACGGATCTCACTGGTGCTAATGTCTTCTCTTCCTTTCTTCCCGTGTCTCTGTAGACCAGAACTCTTTCTCATACGTTGCCCAGAAGTGGAAACCCTGGCTATATCACTGGAGCACCACTGCTGATTGCAGATAGTGGTGCTGTGCAGCATGTATCCTTTTTCTGATACCAAGTTTTATTTACCAGCGGGTTTATTGACTTCTGGTACTCTACTGTCTGGGCTTTTGAGATGCTGCCTTTGCCTGTGAGGCCGTAACTCAGTATTACATTGCAGACATCAGCAGGGCTTTTGGTCACAACTGAATTTAGTCCTGTGATAGGAATAAGGAGGAACGTGGCATGAGAGGGTTGTTAAATACAAGTTGGGTGTCCTGTATTGTCTGTTTATGCTTTTGTTTGGCTTCCTGACATGCAGTCTGTCAGATGAGCATTTTATGGAGCGAAGGTGATGGGAGTTGCTCACAGTCCCTTAGACATGCAGTACAATTTGGAAGAAATATGAGGACAGGCTGCAAGCTCAGGTAACAACACACCCTGCAGTCACCCCTCCTGACGCATTTGGAAGGTGTGGACTCACTTAGCACGTTTTTCTGTAGTCTCTCATGCACTGCTGTAGAGCCTGGGTTCTTCCCTGACATCACCAATGGGTCTCTACAGGTCTTTCATATACGCCTAAGAGGACCTGAATATCAGAGAGATGGTGGACCTCTAGAACAACCTGAACGTGGTGGGACATTTTGAGGCATGTCTTGGGCAAGAGTAGGGTTTGTATTTGAGGACTGAATTTTAACAGAACCTTAAAAAGTGATTGTTTTGATGGTTTGGATCATTCTTTTGTTGGTGCCAGGGCAGATACACAACCACTGATGTGATAAGGTGGCTAATGAGCCATCAGGATTCCTTATTGCACGTTACCCTGCCATGTTCTTCTTCTCCCTTCTCATTGCAGAGAGGATTGAAAGTACGTCCATTTAATACCAATACTTCCATAATGATTCTGTTGACTTGTTACAAGAGCAGAAGAAACACTCATTACGAAGGAAGGATGTTGATAGTGGGTTTTTTCTGTCCTGGAAATCACTTTATCAAAGCTGTTGCATTTTTTCATTTCCAGCCTATCCCCAATACCAGAAGAAGGTAACTGTAGTTACATCCAGCAGAAGTTATACAATGCTCTTCAGGGGATGAACAGAGCAGAGGTCCTTGCGATAACTGGCAGTGCTCATGCAACCCATCCAGAAGAGTGGACCACCATTCTGATTCAGAACTGCGATGTGCAGGTAACATGAATGCAAAAGGCCAGCTGTGAATGTTTTTCATATCTTTGTATTGCCTTGGGGAAGCATGAGCATGGGAAAAAAAGAACTAGCTTCTTCACCTGGGCTTACTTTCTGACTCTCAGGGGTCTTAACGCCTGTAAGCAGTCATTCTTGCTATGTTTCATATTATTAGGATACTTACTAAACCAAGAAAACTACCCCTGACAGATGTGATATCTCTTGAATCCTGTTCTTGCTATTTAAATGGGAAAAAAAAAAAAATTAACACTGAATCCAGTGCTGTATTGCCTAGTTTTCTGACAGCCTTCTAGAACTAGTATTACCTGGTTACTTTCTGTTAATTTCATGTTTTTATTATCATCATCCTTTCTGATTTTCCAGTTTCTAGGGATATTTATATTACCTAATAAGGGTAAAAGTTTGTGATCTTAAGTACTTATGGAGGAGGGAAATGCCATTTTAATAATTATTAGTCTGTCAGGAGGTGGCCTAATAGAATGCAAAATATAAGTGCTAGAGCTGAGACAAATTCTGTTTGGAGGTAAGATGACGATGAGATGGATATGGCTCTAAAATGGGTGGTTGACCTGGCCAGAAGTTGTGGGCTTAGTGCTGAAGTGACTGATTAAGGTTCTGTGACCTATGCTAACCAAAATATTAGTCTTTGACCACAATAATTCTTTTCTACCTTTAAAGTATAATACTAAGATGTTTGGGGTATATTTTATTTTCAGGCTGTGAATTGCACTTCCTGTTGCATGGTTCCTGTGACCCTGGAGATAAAGATATTGTGGAGTAATGTGGGGCTCCTGTCCAACCCACAAGCTCAAGTATTGGGTGCACAGTACTTTTATCAGTGTCACCCCCTGAAGGTATGGAATTTAAAACCCCTCCCTCATGCACAGAGGTAATTAAATGGGATTCACAGATATATTTAAGAACCAAGGAATCAAATGATCTTGATATTTCTGAGTTGAGATTTACTGAACTTCAGCAGTGGCCTGGCTGCAGTGGCAAGAGTTTGTATTTAACAGCTCCATAGAGGAAGGTCGTTTTATGGTCTTATCAGTACTGTCCTCAATCAGTTGTACAACTGGAAAAGGTACCTTCTTTCCAGCCCCGAACCACCTTCTGACACTTAAGGACTCAAACTTTAAACTTTTGATTATGCTCAATATGAAGTTGTAGTTACAAACATTCAATAACTACATATTTATCTAGTTGTCTCTTAAAAGCCTTGATATGGAATTTGAGTTAATTTATATTTCACAGAGTCCACAGCATGCTGATAAGCTGTGCAAGAAGATATTTCAGTTCCTCTAGGGGTTCTGAAATCACCAATAGGTAGCTGAGGAAGAGGCTTGAGCAGATTTGAAGAATCGGGGAGAAGGTTGTACGCCAGAAAGCAGGTTTCTAAGAGAAGTTTACACGATTAAGACATTCAAGGTCAGGTTGGATGGGGCTCTGAGCAAGCAACCTGATCTAGTTGAAGATGTCCCTGCTCATTGCAGGGGGGTTGCACTAGGTGACCTTTAAAGGTCCGTTCCAACCCAAATTACTCTGTTAGCAGGAAGGTGGAGCTAACAGGTCCGCAAAGGAGAATGAACAGTCTTTTTCAAGCGTGTGTCTGTATCCCATTTTGGTGCAAGGCTGAATTCCTGACATCAGGAAGTCTTTTGGGCAGCACATATATTTCAAGGCTTATACTTCTCTGCAAGAGCTTTGGGGGGAGCAGCTGACTGCCCATGGTGTTCTCATGGCAGTGAGGTATGACATGGGAAGTGTCTGTCTGATCTGTTACTACTATTTGAACTTTGGACTCAGTCTAAGTGAGATTTTACATCACTTGGTTTGATGTGTCTCATGGTACCTCTTTGTTCTCCCTTTTTGCAACATACATGAAAAGAACACGACAGGAAGATGTTCACCTTATAAAACACATGTTGCCCTGAGGCAAACTGATATGCCTCCCCTCCTGCCAAAGGTATTTTCTAAATCTTAGCTGTTAGTTGGCTCCATTAACAAAACTTCTGAGCAGGAGAGAGACTTGCATTCCTAGTAAAAGTGCAGGGTGCATCTCCTTCAGTAAGGATGAGCCAGTCAAGAACTATGAGATTCAGATTTCATCTGCTTGAGCAACTGATGCTAATTTCTTTAGAGCTGTAAAGTAGTTTGAAAAGCAAATTGTAAGAAAGCCAGTGTCTGGCAGCAAGAAGAAACCACATCATTAAAATCAGTACCAACTTCATCAGTGGCAGTCCACAAGTTCAGGTTGTTAGCAGAGGTACCAGTTGGTACCATACCCAGCAGTTAAGCATTGCCACCATTTGTAAGCATACCGGCGAGATCGCCAGTGTGTGCTGTACATCGTTTTGTCACTCCCAGTTTTAGTCTACAGGCTCTCCATCTGAGAAAACCTTTTCCTGTACACTGGACTGTGTCGCTGGACAGTTGCCTTAGTGACTGACCAGAAAACAGAACCCAGGAAAGACATCCCATTTCCAACACCCATCCACAATATCTGATCACACTTGTCTTTGGACTTCCTGAAAATACAAGACAGTCTTCGATGCTGTGGAGCCACACAGGAGCATGCTGGAAGTTGCTCGTGGCTGCCTTCTCCCAGCTGTTGAGGAGGGGTTGTGCATGGATTTTTTTCCCCACTAATCTCTCTGATTTTACGGCAGATTTTGGAGGTCCAGACACAAAGCCAGATTCATTTTGAGGCTTCTTGATGACTAAGGCGATTGTGCCTACTGTGTGTTTACTCATTGATAGGATGAGGCTTTGGGCAACCTGGGCTAGTGGGAGGTGTCCCTGCCCGCGGCAGGGGGTGGAACTACATGATCTCTAAGGTCCCTTCCAACCCAAACCCTTCTGTGATTCTATGACATCCTTCAGGAGCGAAGGGGAAATACCAGTTGTAGCTGCTCCGCAGGGGTAATCTGTGACCGAGGAGTGATCTGGCACGGCGGACGAGAAGGCCCTGCTGCAAGAAGGGGTTAAACTGGCTGGAAGCAGGAAGGCCAGAGATGGACTTGCAAGGGAGTGAATTTTCCCGTGGTGATGAAGCAGCCTCAGCATTGTCCTGGAGCCGTCCTGGCCTGGGAACACTCAGGGCCCAAGCTGAGGGGCCGCCTTTGGGCAGCAGAGCTGGGCTGGGGGATGGACCCACGGCCGGGCTGAGGTGCCCCGTGCTGACGCTCCCAGGATTGGTGCTGGTGCGGTGGATATAAGCAATCTGCTGGGAATGCGTTGCTGCAGACTCCGTGTAGAACCATGTATTGCGCAGGACTCTGCCCAATGTCTTGTTCATGTCATGGTTCTTTACATTTTTCTTTTATATTTAAGCACAAAAGTGTTTTTAATTTGCCTTGAGAGGTACCACAGATATTCCCCAACAGGAGTCTCAGTATTTTTCTCTTAAGAGTCATGAATTCTATCTTGGAGCTTTTTTGAGTGCTTCCTGCACGCCTTTGCTCTCAAGGCAATCTTCCACGTTGTTTCCAGGGAAGTGAACGAGGTGGTGATCACACAGATTGGCTTAAACCAGTGCCACCACAGGAGGTGTGCTGCCAGTAGATTCCCTCTTGCGAGGCTGGTGTGCAGAGCTGGGAGGCCGGGGCAGGGAGCGAGCCTGCTCTTTTGGCAGCAGCATGGTCTATAATCAGCCCAAGCGAGCCATGAAACT